ACTCCAAACTCCACTATGGCCAAGACTAAAGAGCTGTCAAAGGACACCAGAAACAAAATTGCCTACACAGACACCCTGCAAAACAGGTCAAGCAGACATCTTGGTAGAGAGCATATTAACTTACCGAATGGCAGCATGCAATGATACTCACCTTCAACTACACAAACAATATCTCTAGTCGTCCTTCTTGAATTTGCTGCTGCCGACGTTACCGCCGGTGTGTAGGCAGGGCAAACCCGATTGTAGATGTGCACTGTTGGAGCTAGGAACACAAACATTTCGCTACACCCGCAATAACATCTGCTAAATATGTGTATGTGACCAATCAAATTTGATTTGAACAGACCTTGAGGTCGTCAGGCACTTAGCCATGTTAAAATACTCCAAACCTCAATTACCTCGACTAACCGGTGCCCCCGCACATTGACTCGGTACCCCCTGTATATAGCCTCGCTATTGTTATTTTTACTGCTGCTCTTTAATTATTTGTTACTTTTAATTTGTATCATTTTATATTGTATTTTTGTGCGATTTTATTTTTTTGGTATTCTTTCTTAAAACTGCATTGTTGGTTAAGGGCTTGTAAGTAAGCGTTTCACTGTAAGGTCTACACCTGTTGTATTCGGCGCATGTGACAAATACAATTTGATTTGGTAGTAGCGTTGCTTGGCAATGTGTGTTGCTTAGTTCATGGTCTAGATTCCAATGTTAGCTAGCTGCGCTAATGTTGCTATTTTGTAGAGCTAGATAACTACCTAGCAAGATGACGAAGAAACAATTTAATTCGCTCTCCATAATCCCATACTGCCAGTGTCAGCCCATGGCCAAATGTATAGCTAGCTAACATTACAATATTCGCTAGCTAGCACAACATAGCTAGCTAGCACAGGCAGCTGTTTCATGTAAAGTAATCCATTGTGATTTAATTATATCAATACTAGCTACAGTGGTTAGCTACCTTGGAAGTATTGTGTCTGTGTACTTAGCTAGCTACTATCCCATAGCCTACATTGCATTGAAGTATGAAAAATGTATGCACTCACTAACTGTAAGTCGCTCTGGATAAGAGCGTCTGCTAAATTACTAAAATGTGTGTGACTGGCTCATGACATTTAACCGTGGATGTATGGAGAAAATGCCATATTTTTTTCCTTTTTGTTGTCACTCCTGTTGGCTTCCCGACGTGGGGGTTTGTGCTTTTCTTCTTCTTCGATGAGGTTTAATGGCGGTTGGAATCCAATATGTTGCATTACAGCCACCTACTAGACTGGAGTACAACTCCCTTAAATTTTGCATGAACAATAAAATAAAGAAACACCCTACCATCTAACACTACACTCACAAAAAATACATATATATAATACAAAAATAACATTAACATCACCCTACTCCACCATTTAAATATATGTATTCCTACCTCATGCCCTCAACCTGAAAGGATGGGACATCACCACTTAACACTCCCTGTAACTCTTCTGATGTCAAGTCTCGCACACCCAAATACCTCTCTGCAGCTGCCACCACAACCTCCATTTTCTTTGACTTACATTCCATCCCTGCAGTACAATTAATAACCATTGCTATAAATGCTAAAAATCTAATCTTACTGAAACATATCGCTTGTTGGCCTATCCCTCTGTACTGGTACAGATCTACTACTCTCACCACTCCTCCCCCTTGACCCATCTTACTCTATTTTCTTCACTGCCTCAGCATAAGACAACTTCTGCACTACTCTTACCCTGGAAACCTCAACCTGCCTCTCTCGCATGGGACATTTCGGATCCCCAGCCCCATGGGCACCCCTACAATTAGCACATACCACTACTTTCCCCAATGCTACAAATTTATTTGCCTCATGCCCTTCTGCACACTTCTCACACTTTGGAACCTCCCTCCTACACACTGCTGCCACATGCCCATAAGTTTGACACCTGTAACATCGTAATGTATTCGGCACATAAGCTCGTACAGGATAACTTATCCTAACTTCACTTTGTCGGGCAAAGACTCAACTTCAAAACTCAAAAGAACAGACAATGACTCTTCTGTTTCCCCACTCTCGCCACTGTTTGCGTCACACCAAACGATGAGCATCACAAACACCGGGAATCTTCCCCTTCAGTTGGTCAACTTTTACATTTACTGCTAACCCAGTAAACACTCCTTTCAATGGCGCCCTTTTCTTGAGTGAAACAATTCACATTTCTTGCCCTCATTTGTTTAACTCTGAGCACCTTCTCCCTCTGACCAGCAGAAACACAAACAATTATCACTAGACCACTTCTGGTTACCCTCACCGATTCCACTATAACCAACAATTTTTTCACCCACCTTGAAACCACAAATGGATCAGCCAAAAGGCAAGGGTCCACTTTTTCCAAAAATTCACTCCTACTGTCACAGACTCATCTTTATCCTGATCCTTGGTGCAAGCCTCAGGCTCCGATACTTCACCCTCATTCACTTCCATTTCTCCTCCTGTCTTCAGCTCACTCTGTGGAGCATGTATTGCTACATTTTCTACCATTCTTCTTTAACAAACCTTCTCCCTTTTTACCTGCATTTTTAACCGACTCAAGCTCACAATCTTCCTCCCTCTCTCTTAGACCTCCTCTGCCTCTATTTTTCCCTCCATTCCTCCTCCATATTCCAAGTATATGTTTCCTTATGGTAATACTGCACTTCTCCTGACATACATCTTGTTCTTGCTTTCTCAAGGGACGCCATTTACGAGGCTCTCCAACCGAATCTTTGTCTAAAATTACTTCCATTTGTCTAAAGTCTTCTTCGTCTTCTTCTTCTTCTTCTTCAGGGGGGTTTGTTGGCGGTTGGCATCCAACGTTATGGTGCATTGCCGCCACCTACCGTACTGGAGTGTGGGCCAGAGACAGGGATAAACTAAATCCTACCTGCCAACCCCGTTTCTCTTAAAAAAGATAACCAAATATTTGAGACTATATCTAATGACGCTCTACTCAATATACTCTTTAAACTCATTTCCTGTATCCCCTTCTCCCTCATACTAAATGTAATCCTCTCTCTTTCCCTCTGATATTGCCCACACTGTAGCAATACATGCTCCACAGTCTCTATTTCCTGACAATAATCACACTTTCCTGATGGATGCTTTCCTATCACGTTTAATGTCTTATTCAACTGGCTGTGTCCCACCCTTAATCTTGTAAAAAATAGCCTCCTCTCTTCTGTCCCTTCCTGCCATCCTCCCCTCCCCGACTTTCCTCTGTACCTGAAATAAATGCCTTCCCTTATTATTTACATTCCACTGCTCCTGCCATCTCTTCACCATCACTGTATATATCAGTCTTTTTGCCTCTGCCTTGCTCATTGACACTTCAACATAAACATCCCCACTACTAAGTGCTTGTTTAGCCTGTTCATCTACCACCTCGTTCCCCTCCACCCCCACATGGGCTGGAACCCAAGTAAATCTTATCTGAATACCCATCTGTTTAATCCTGCCATGGGTTTGTAGCACCTCATAAAGCAGGTCTTGTCTGCTACGTGAGCTAAAGGACTGGAGACTCATTAACACTGCACATGAATCAGAACAAATAACTACTCTGTCTGGCTTAACTTCCTCCACCCTCTCAGGATCGTCACCCCAATGCTTTAGCCTATTTGTAGCCACTTTACTGCTGCATCAGTTGGGCTACAGGTGATGATGCTTATTGCTAATAGCATACCTGATAATATGGACCATGCATAGGCTATATGCATTGTCCAATATGTTAACATATTTGTTATGTTATTGGGCTCATTTCTGGAGGTGGAAATTATGTTTTAGATGGCGTCAGCATAATTTTATTTTCATTAACTTTGGAGTAGAATGTCCTTTTTAAAATGTCACCAGAACTGAGCTTCTCAGTCCTTCTAAATATACATTCTCACCTTGGACCCCCCTTCAACCCCCCACTGTCTGAAATCAATTATGTTTGCCTGTAGGTCAGTCTGTGCTTTAGGAGATAAGCCAAGAAAAATGGGGACAGTGTGACCAGAGCTGCAGATGTCATCAGATGCAAAGACACAACTAGACACCAGGGCAATGAGAAGAGAAACAACGTGCTCTCCTCTTTTTCAATCAACTTAACTGGACTTTTCAACCTGATTTTGACATATTTTTAAAATAACTGTTGTGCATTTTTTTTTATTTTTTTTTTATGAAATTGCTCAGCCATGGAATTACATGGAGGAATGGGAAATGCAGGCATTATGAGAAAATGTTTCTCTTATATACCATTTTTATGCCTTTGTTAGTTTGATTGAAGTCTGTATTTTATTTTTAAAGTTAAAAATTTCTCTGCTTTTCATGGTCCGTTTTCCATAATGGCTGCTGTGAATACTGCTAGCTAGTATGAGTACGAAAACGGCTGTTTTCCGGGGAAACTAGCAATATTTCAATCTTCTCGATGGAGCAGTGTGGATAAAGGTAACATTTGGAGTACGTTTTCCGACCCATATCTCACACAGGCTCCACAGTGTGTTATTGTAACCATGATTGCGTTCTGACTTCAGCGTAAACAAGCGCAATGGTAGGATATGTATCTTCTGGCAAACCTGACATGATGGATAGTTGTTTTCTGGAGAGAAAAAATATAGTATTGGGTTATTTCATCCAGCTTGGTTGATTTTATTTATTTTATTATTGTTTTAATTGTAATGTAAATTGTTCTTCCTGTTGTGAGAAAATGTTTGTACTCGGGGCACAATTGGGAATGCAACCCTGGTCTCAATTGGGCTACCCTGAATAAAAGTTTTAAAGTGTTTAGTGTGAAATTGAAATAATTTTGTATAAACATACAGCTAAACTGATGAGAAAAAGACTAGCAAAGGTAGCTAGATTAAACAAAATTAAAACACTCAACTGATCCCAACAAAGACAGGACTTCAATTGGGACTAGTTTGTGGACCAGCGGATTAATTGCCGTCCACTTTATGTAACAGTGGTCTAACGTGGCGGAGTGATTTTATGAGTGTCTAGACACGAGAAAGGGGGTAGGACAGCTGACATCGAAAAGGAAAGCAGATCCACAACAAAACATTCTACCCACATTTTTCAAACCCATGTAGATTCCCGAATCGACATAAATCGAGCAATCATAACCTACAAGAAGCATGGAGAGGAAAAGGTGGGTTTGTATGACTTGTTCGAATGAGTTGTAAGAAGGACAAGTAGCTAAGTAAAAAAGACGGTAGCTAGCTAATGTTAGCTGGTCTGCAGCAGGGAAAGCATGTCTCTAGCTAGCTAACATTGTTTCTCGATGGAGTAGGCGGGACGCTAACTAGCCACTAAAGTAAGACATCGTACACGTAGCTAACTGTCTACCAAAAAGTTAAATGATCAGTGTCTACAGATTGCGTCAAATTTGATAAGTAACCATTAGATAGCAAACGATAAGTCATTGTCGATTGCTAACGTTAGCTTGCTAGCAAACGTCAGCTCCCCGCACACTTGTCAACAAATGTGCAAGTAACGTTAGCATTGGGAGTTAGCGTAGCTATCTGTTACAAGTCTTTGTTTACATTTGTGTAAATTGATTCACATTATGTGGACTTTATAATGCAGTATTGTGGGTACGGTGCTATGGGTTAACTACGACAGTAGCTAGCTAACTTTCATTGTTTACTACAATGCAGGGGTGAAAGTAAGGCGGTGCAATACGGCGTCCCGGCAAAATAAATAGTTGGGGTACGCCATACCGGTAAAACGTGAGCCGATCACAATTAAAACACGCCCAAAAAACTATAGGCTACTACACCAGTATTTAACATTACTGCATGTAAGCCCCATGAAACATTTGCGAATTGACTGGAAACTGGGTGGTATACTGTCCAAATTGCGTTGTGGTTTGAGGAGAACGCTTACATTTTGTCAAGGCCGAGATGAGTTGCGGAGACGCTCGCGGACAAGGCAGAGATTAGTGGCCGAGACCGAAGCGTGCGTGGACAACCGTGAATGCATAAATTCAGGCTAACGTTACAAGTGTGTCTCTTTCCATTGATTAAATTTCTTTCCATTTATGAAATTGCGGGTGCACAGTGCACTGTTGGGGTTTGGATGTTGAAATTAATTTGTGAGTGGACGAATGTGCGCGGGTAGCCTACAGCAGCGCCTTTGTTAAGTGATTGTTTGACAATCAGATGAAAACATTATGACTGGTTGTGTTTATGCCACATTAAAAAGCATAGCCGGCGTGTCCATAAGTCTAGGGGAAGCTTTCCCTAAAGTGAATTAAAATAAACTGCCAAAATTATATCGCCTAATTAGCTTACTCCTGTCTATACCGAAATGAATAAAATCATTCAAAATAGGCTTCTACACCAGAAAGCATGATTTGGCCACAAAGGGTCATTAACTTTTTTTATGCAGTGGATTGTTTTAAATTGCATAGCATACAGTCGGAAGGGACCGCAATTTGGGCAGTGCGCACTTCAAATACCAAAATAGATGATTGTTGAGTTGCTACTGTCAGTGAAAAGCAGAGACCCAGCCAGGCATATCTCGAACAAACTGTTTGGAAAGCAAATGGCTATTGCTCCAAAGAGATGACAATGAAAAGACTCCAATCCGTCTTTTAGTTATCAAAATTCTTAACTTAATGGAGCACCAGCTGAGAACATCTGCCATATCCCCTGTGAGAAGTGTCAGTGACACTTTATTATATTTTATTTTTTGGACAATACTTTCCTCCTCCAGGTTAGATGGATGTCACATTGTATTTGTGTCTCCCCCTTTAGTAGGCCAATTATATGGATCAGACATCGTTTTTATTGATCTGTTTGTCAGTGTCAGCAGAGTAGCCTACCCTGTAATTTTTGTAGTATAAAAAAAATGCGTGCAGGCACTTGGGTGTCCCACACCGGTAAGAAATTAAATCTACTTTCACCCCCGCTACTATGGTTGTTTTGCAGGCTGAGGCTCTCTGATGTTTTTTTCCTGATGGCCTGTCTTCCTGCCCCTTTAGTGACCCTGGAAAGAGATTCCTGAGCAAACCCCAACTAGCTCGTTACCTGGGCAACACCATGGAGGTGCACGCCATTGACCCCCGTGCTGGAAGGATGCTAACGAACAAGCTGCACAGGAACAGGCACAAGCATCGCTATGACAACAACAACCATCAGATCAAGGTGAGAGGGAGTTTGAGTCCAGGATAATGTGTAATCTGTTTGACCTTTGATCCCTGACCTGTTTCTCTGTCTGTGTTGAAGGTCAAGCCGGACCTGAACACGACCCTACCAGTCCGACAGACAGCATCCATCTTTAAACAGCCTGTCACCAAGGTGACAAATCACCCTAGCAACAAAGTGAAGACAGACCCCCACAAGGCTGTCGACCAACCAAGACAGGTGAGACCAACGATGCTCTGCGCTTATTGGTTGTGATGTAATGATACTGTAATGTTATTTCTTTAATTGCTGCCATATGGTTGGTAGATGAAGTCATCTACTCTGGCCTAGCCCTTGGAAACGTATTATTGCAAATTGGATGAGTCGCTCGATTTAACAAGCTTACTTAAATGTCCAATGCAGCCGTGTTTATCTCAATATCAAATCAATTCTGGGTAACAGTTAAGTACCTTACTGTGATTGTTTTCAATTAAAATAGTCAAAAAGAAACAAATAGCTTCTTACCAAAGAGTAATTTCTCAATAAATAATTTTGTTAGGAGTGGTCTGAGTGAGGGGCCTAATTGGACGAGCCTAATGGGAGGGATATGTAACCTGAAAACTAGCTGTTAGAGAGGTTGAACTCTATGTTATTGGTCTATTGACTTATATCGCCTGGTGACGTCACCAGGCAGACCAAGATTCTATCTCACCAAAACAGGCTGACATTTCTGGCTGTATTTTCAAACACTAAAAGGGCATTATCATCATTTTCAAAATGTTCAGTGGAAATATATATAAAACACAGGAAAATCACTTTTTTGACTGTACTGGGCCCTTTGATCTTAATCAAAGCTTGTTAAATCCTTCCTGTAATGTGGCTAAACATTTTGAGTTGTTCTGGGTGGCAGCAATAAAAACATGAATTTCCATGAATTATGAAGCACATCATTATGTGATGCGTTTAAAGTCAAATGGATAGCTGTTGTTTACACACTGTGTGTTTGTCCTCAGCTGTTTTGGGAGAGGAAACTGAGTGGTCTGAGTGCGTTTGACATCGCAGAGGAGCTGGTCAAGACCATGGACCTTCCCAAGGGCCTACAGGGTAAGTACACACGGCAGAGAGTACTTGAGACTCATACACATAAAACCAGTGTTTTGGGATTTTATGTGTGTTTTTTTTATATCTGACCCTGTGAATCTCCCCCCAGGTGTTGGGCCTGTGTGTTCAGACAAGACCCTGCTCTCTGCCATTGCCAGCGCCCTGCACACCAGCCCCACACCCGTCACTGGTCAGCTGACTGCAGCCGTGGAGAAGAACCCTGGTGTGTGGCTCAACACCACCCAGCCACTCTGCAAGGCCTTCATGGTTACTGATGACGACATCAGGTAGAGTACACATACATGACCCTGTGGTGTGGCTCAACACCACCCAGCTACAGTGGGGCCTTGTTGTTAAAGGGATAGTTCACCCAAATTACAAAATGACACATTGGTTTCCTTACCCTGTAAGCAGTCAATAGACAAGGTATGACAGCAATCCATGCTTTGGTTTAGTATGCCTGGCACTGTTTCCACATGCTAACGTTATAGCATTAGTGGCACAAATCCCAGCTATGGGACCGATATTAGCATTTTTTGCGCATCATGTCCAAATCATCTGAAATAATCTAAAATTGATTGTGAAGCTCAACATAGTCACTTATAGATGATTTTAACATGATGTGTGAAAAATGTGCCACACGTCATGTTCAAATATGTTAAGCTTCACAATCAATTTGAGATTCTTTCTGCTAATTTGGACATAGTGTGCAAAAAATGCTAATATCGGTCCCATGACTGGGATTTGTGCCACTAATGCTAAAACGTTAGCATGTGGAAACAGTGCCCGGCAAACTAAACCAAAGCATTGGATTGCTGTCATACCTTGTCCATATACTGCTTACAGGGTAAGGAAACCAATATGTCATTTTGTAATTTGGTTTAACTATCCCTTTAAGCCACGAGGACTGTCATCCATCCATTGCTCCCTAACCCCTCTCCTCTCTCTCCCTCTGTGGTATATGTAGGAAGCAAGAGGACCTGGTCCACAGTGTGAGGAGGAGGTTGGAGGAAGCGCTGATGGCGGACATGTTGGCTCACATAGAGGCCTCCACCAACGAGGCAGACACAGACGCTCTGAAGGAGGAACAAGCCGAGCAGGATGACAAGGAGGACGTATAGCAGAGGTACAGCAGAGCAGTATAATGTAGAAATGAAATAGATAGAGGTTACTTTGTCTTTAAGAAATGGTCTAGGTTCTGTTGTGTGGGTTTGTTAGTAATACTTTATGTAGCGAGATAACGGGTTTAAACGTTTACGTAATTCTGTCATTACCGGTAGTAACATGCTACAGATGAAAAACCTATTGATTTTTCTCTCTCCTACAGGGTTGGTGAATGCTACAGAGAGCTGCCTTGAACACAGTATTCTACCCATACACACCCATACACATACAGGACATTCACCAGGATCTGACTAGCATCTGTCAACATGAAGGACCCTCTCTCGTCTACGTCTGTCTGTCTGGAAGACTGTCAACAACAATTCAATCTAAATATAGTTTTGACCAATTTAAATGCAATTTTGAAATATGTTTTTAAGCCCTTGGACAAGGCTTTGACGTTCAGAGTTCAATTCAATTCACAAATGTTTACCCTCTAATTGTATGGAATGTGGAGAAGTATGTATGGTGCTTTAGGCAATATAGTCTTGCCCTCTTGTGAACACAAGTTTAAGGTTAAAACACAGAGTTAATATGTGTTTGTCTGTGCACGTTTGTCTGCGTGCATGTGTCTACACGAGAGAGGAGAGGGAAAAGAGTGTGTGTTTTTGGGAGGGGGAGAGTGTGTGTTTGTGGGGCACCACTCGGCCCATTCCATTTGAACGGTTCCATCTGTCTCTGTCTTGTGTTGCTCTGCTACCACTCAGTATCCTTTGCCCAAGTGGAGAATTAGTGGGTGGTTCGAGGGGTGCAGATTGGGCAAGGGACCACATGCTGTAAGATGACGGTTGGAGGCTCAAAGCGGACTTTGCAAAAGACAACCTAATGTGTCAGAAATCAGTCATAGATAAGCATGCATCATATGATCTGATATAGGTTATAGGATATATCCTATGGCTCTTGTTATCCCTAACAAATAATTGGGTTCTGTGTTCTCCATACTGTCTTCTGGACGGTCATGAGGAGTGGTGCTCTCTGCACAGAGGTTGAACAGGCTCTCATGACTCAAACTCTCCTATAAGTTCAAAATGGTGCTAATTTTGTCTGGTCTCATCTTTCTAGATGTATTTGCTTTCATGTTACATTGATGAACTGTCAATAGGTGCGACGGCTGACGTAGACGGCTACTCTGAAATAGTTGCCTATTTGGGATTTTGTATTTTTTGTTGTTTGAAAACGTTGCTGTGTGGCAAGTCACAATTATTCCATAGTTATTTAACATTGGTTGTTTTAATAGGTTTTAAGTGCTGACATTTTCCCCTAAACTTGTTCTTGATTTGAGTTATGAATGGGAAGATCATTCACTGTCAGAATGATCCCCCCATGAGATGTTATTGTTCAAATTATGCTTTATGGTTAAAAACCTTTGTTTCCATAGAGGGATTTGTTACCATTTTCTCTTGTAATTTGAGGTCAAACATCAAGCAATTCATTCTGGATGATTATTTTTTTCCTATAACTAAAATAAATGCAAACTCTTTTGTAATTTGTGTAGTGTGTTCTTTTAGACCAGGGGTATTCAACTCTTACCCTGTTGGATTGCTGTTCTACCTGATAATTAATTGCGCCCACCTGGTGTCCCAGGTCTAAATCAGTCTGTTATTAGAGGGGAACAATTTTAAAAAGCAGTGGAACTGGCTTTGAGGTCCACAGTTGAGTTTGAAGGTTTTAGATGCTTGGTTTGTGAGCGCAGCAGACAACCTGGAGAAGACTCATCACTAGACTTGTCTGTTTTTTTAGGCCACCTAGCGAGTCCCTAAGTCAGGGATGGGCAACTGGCGGCCCCCTTTTTGTAGGCCCGTGGCTCAATTTCCATAAACAAAACAAAAAAACATGTTTTTTATTTAGGAACTCAGTAGGGGTCTCAACTTACTGTTAAAAGTTAGAATAGTAGAATACAGAAGGTGAAATTCGGTTGTGCATCAACTGTTTTTCTCTTGTCGGTCACTGACAGTCACTCAGTTAGCCCAAGTCATCTAACATTTTTAAGATAGGTAAATTAGTCTAGCCAGCTATGTAAACTTTTATTAATCGTGGTTAGTCATTCATATTAAAAACTGCAAACATCTCTCTGCCCCATGGCAAAATGAGTAGAATTGCATGAAATTATGCTGACCAAAAATATGAACGCAACATGCAACAATTTCAAAGATTTTACTGAGTTACAGTTCATTTAAGGAAATCAGCCAATTTAAAGAAATTCATTAGGCCCTTATCTATGGATTTCACATAACTGGGAATACAGATATGCATCTATTGTTCACAGATACCTTAAAAAGGCTGTCGCGTAACAGAAATGTGGAAAAAGTGAAGGGGTCTGAATACTTTCTGAATGCACTGTATGTGATGTCTATGGCGATGACCCATTCCTGTCTTTATTGAATCTATTCCAACTCTATTTCTATAAATGCAACAATTTCAATGATTTTACTGAGATACAGTTCATATAAGGAAATCAGTCAATGGAAATAAATTCATTAGGCCCTAATCTATGGATTTCACATGACTGGGCAGGGGTGCAGCCATGAGTGGGCCTTGGAGGGCATAGGCCCACCCACTTGGCAGCCAGGTCCACCCACTGGGGAGCCAGGCCCAGCCAATCAGAATGGGTTTTTCCCCACAAAAGGGCTTTATTACAGACAGAAATATTCCTCAGCATGCCAATTGCACGCTCCCTCAAAACTTGAGACATCTGTGGCATTGTGTTGTGTGACAAAATTGCACATTTTAAAGTGGCCTTTTATTGTCCCCAGCACAAGGTGCACCTGTGTAATGATAATTCTGTTTAATAAACTTCTTGATATGCCACACCTGTCAGGTGGATGGATGACCTTGGCAAAGGAGAAATGCTCACTAACAGGGATGTAAACAAATGTGTGAACAATATTTGAGAGAAATAAGCTTTTGGGGCATATGGAACATTTCTGGGATCTTTTATTTCAGCTCATGAAACATGGGGCCAACACTTTACATGTTGCATTTATATTTTTGTTCTGTGTAGTTATACAATTGTTAAATCTCTGCCCAATGGCAAAATAGAAGGAGAATTGCAGCAAACTTGCTTTAAACAACATTTTCTCTACACCCCATGGCAAAATGTGTAGAATTTTAGGAAATTAACTCTAAAAAGGAACATTTTTCTCTACACTGTCAAGAGGAGGGGGCTTTCATGCCAAATAGTGTCCCACTGCTATTTCGATTGTCATTATGGAGACAACTATTTCCAACCCTTTTTCAATAAAACATATTAATACTATAGAACATCAAGAAATAATGGGGACAAAGCACTGGAAAACGACTTTGGGCGCATTTTAGCGCATTACATAAATTCACTAGGAGGTGGTTTAAACTGCAATATTGACTGCTTAAAGAAAACGGTATCAAGTGAAGTGCTTTATGCATGCTCAGTTCTTGGGTCTCTGGGGCTGCCTGAGTGGAAATTTGAAATGGAAGTTATGGAACAGGTGGTTCTTTTTATGAGGGAAAAGTCCTCAATGAAACTGACATTAGGCTACATGTGGAGAATTATACATTTGCCTCTGTTGGCCATCAAGTAGCCGATTCATGTATATACCATTGTAGGCTACCATTTGATATTATAAATATGTTGAAATGACGATATCACCGGAGTCATTGCAAATCGTTTTGTGCCACTTGTGTAGCCTACCTGGAGCTGGCAAAACAATTTCATAGCCTATGACTTCAGTTTATTGTTGTTGTAGCCTTGTGTTATTATGAACGCATTAGATTGACGGTAACCGTAGTCAGATTAGGCTACAGGTAAAACAGATTTTTTTTAAATAAACACTGGCTGTTGTTGACAAGCATATTCAGTTCATAGTTGATATTATTAATATTTAATTCAGTGATTGAAATTATAACCCCATCCTCAGTAGCCTATTCCAGCAGGCTATTGGGAAACACAAGCACTTCTTATTGCGAAATCGCCTCGTTATTCATGTTGATTGAAATTAGTCTGTTAATTTGAACTAAGCATTCTGCTAAATCGTTCAGTTTACATCTTGCCTACATCTTGTCTAGGCTACTGTAGACTATCTGAAATTAGATGTAGGCCTATCAGGGGCTATAGGCTACCTGCCTTTAGCTAAGCAAACTATGGCAAAATGTAATTACAAACATAAACCCAGATTTTAGTCTGTAGCCTATGCCTATTGAAATGACAAGTCAATCTCGCAAATGGGCCATTTATAACGGTTTGTAATCTTAACATCTGGCACATAATAACAGCACAATTGCCAGAAAATAGCCTAACATTAGTTTTTCTTGCTCAGAGTTTTCGAGATCCTCTGTCCAACTGCTGATTGGCTGAAAGCCGTGGCATATCAGACCATATACCACAGGTATGACAAAACATTACTTTTTACTGTTCTAATTACGTTGGTAACCAGTTTATAATAACAATAAGGCCTTAATAAAGATAATTGTAGACCTCCACAACTCTAGTTCATCCTTGGGAGCAATTTCCAAATACCTGAAGGTACCACGTTCATCTGTACAAACAATAGTATGCAAGTATAAACACCATGGGACCACGCAGCCGTCATACCGCTCAGGAAGGAGACGCGTTTTGTCTCCTAGAGATGAACGTACTTTGGTGTGAAAAGTGCAAATCAATCCCAGAACAGCAGCAAAGGACCTTGTGAAGATGCTGGAGGAATAAGGTACAAAAGTATCTATATCCACAGTAAAACGAGTCCTATATCGACATAACCTGAAAGGCCGCTCAGCAAGGAAGAAGCCACTGCTCCAAAACCGCCATAAAAAAGCCAGACTATGGTTTGCAACTGCACATGGGGACAAAGATCGTACTTTTTGGAGAAATGTCCTCTGATCTGATGAAACAAAGTCTGTTGCTGGAAAAACTTATGTGTTATGGCTTTACACCCCCTGCTATATTGTGGATAAAGAGTTACCTGTCTAACAGAACACAGAGGGTGTTCTTTAATGGAAGCCTCTCCAACAAAATCCAGGTAGAATCAGGAATTCCCCAGGGCAGCTGTCTAGGCCCCTTACTTTTTTCAATCTTTACTAGCGACCTGCCACTGGCTTTGAGTAAAGCCAGTGTGTCCATGAATGCGGATGACTCAACAATATACACGTCAAATCAAATCAAATCAAATCAAATCAAATTTTATTGGTCACATGCGCCGAATACAACAGGTGCAGACATTACAGTGAAATGCTTACTTACAGCCCTTAACCAACAGTGCATTTATTTTAAACAAAAAAGTAAGAATAAAACAACAACAAAAAAGTGTTGAGAAAAAAAGAGCAGAAGTAAAATAAAGTGACAGTAGGGAGGCTATATATACAGTAAAATAAAGTAACAATAGGGAGGCTATATATACAGGGGGGTACCGTTGCATAGTCAATGTGCGGGGGCACCGGCTAGTTGAGGTAGTTGAGGTAATATGTACATGTGGGTAGAGTTAAAGTGACTATGCATAAATACTTAACAGAGTAGCAGCAGCGTAAAAAGGATGGGTCAGCTACCACAGCGACTGAAATGACAGCAACACTTAACAAAGAGCTGCAGTTAGTTTCAGAATAGGTGGCAAGGAATAAATTAGTCATAAAAAAAATGTATGCACTCACTAACTGTAAGTCGCTCTGGATAAGAGCGTCTGCTAAATGACTAAAATGTAAATGTCAAATGTAAATTTGGGACAAATCATTTACTAAATCCTAAACCTCAACTAAGTCTTGTAATGAATAATGTGGAAATTGAGCAAGTTGAGGAGACTAAACTGCTTGGAGTAACCCTGGATTGTAAACTGTCATGGTCAAAACATATTGATACAACAGTAGCTAGGATGGGGAGAAGTCTGTCTATAATAAAGCGCTGTGTTGCATTCTTAACAGCACTGTCAACAAGGCAGGTCCTGGACTGCTGTTCAGTCGTGTGATCAGGTGCCACAAAGAGGGATTTAGGAAAATTGCAATTGGCTCAGAACAGGGCAGCACGGCTGCGATTAAAATAATTGAGAGAACAAGTGATGCTAGTGAAGAGATGGTAGTGGATACACCACAGCCTGTAGTAAATGTTGGCTGGCATACAAAAGATACGCTGTGTGTTAAAAAGGTGGATTTGTTGCGTTCATTGCCACAGTTATAAACTGTACAGTACAAGTCTCAAAGAAGTTGAAGAAACTAGACATTATTGTGGCTGTAGCAGAAAAGTTTTTGGGACTTTAGGATTTTACATCGGAAGACTTGCAAGGGGTACTGGCGCCGGAAGACCCGCCCTCCCAGGTTCTCCTTGAGCCTGTGTAGGGATCAGATCTGTTTTATTTATTTATTTTTAACAAAAAAGTTGTTTTATTTATTTATTTTTTGGTCGTTTTTTGGTAGTTCAGTTTTCATCCCGCATAGTAGGTGGCGGGATGCACATTAAATTGTGTGATCGCCAATATACCGAAGAAGAAGAAGAAGAAGAAGAAGAAGAAGAAGAAGAAGAAGAAGAGG